TAAAGTACATATGTATAACACTTACTAGTTAAAGTAACCCATGTATAACACTAGTTAAAGTACATATGTATAACACTTACTAGTTAAAGTAACCCATGTATAACACTAGTTAAAGTACATATGTATAACACTTACTAGTACATTTCAATGTTGTTCTCATTTGTAATTAATCATCACCTGCGTTTTATAAGAACATATACATTTATTTAGAGAAAACATCAAGTATTTTATGTACCAGATTTCTTAAAATTTATGAACGGTGAATGACAATGTTTACATTATGAGATGTAATATTATGACTCTTAAAGTGTACTGAAAAAGTGTTTTTTTTTTTCATTTAAATCTTTGAAAATTTATTATAAAATTGAAGCATAAACACCATTTAAACAGTCACCTTTTAATTTCATAACAATAATGCAACGTAATGTTTAAAATGAACTAACAGTGGGCCTCAGTTTTACTTTCTCTATATCATAACCTTTAATGTGTTACAATACATTAAAAAAATACATCACGTCAAACTACTTTGTAGTACCAGTTACTATAAAAATCTATGTACCAGCTGCCCCAGTGTCGGCTAACAATACAAAGAATTAAATTGTGGCGAAATGCTACAAGTTCTTCAAATACCTATAGAATGATGGGTTTCTTTTTTGTGAGTGTAAAACACTTAAATACACCAGTTCGATACCTCACTTCTACATATAAAGGATTGGTTTGGTCTGATATTTCATTGGTGGTAGTGTCCAGGGTCACTGATGAGGAGTGGAAATCTCCAAAACTAGTCTGGCTCGCAGACACACCCCTCATTGAAAGAGTAGACCATTCCAAGCTTTTAGTTGTTGTAAAACAAATGTTTAAACAACTCTATTCAATCTATAAAAACATTACTTTCTGTACAGAATACTGTAATCCTCTTTTCTGGCTAAACAAGTTATATCAAAAAAACACAAAACTATGATACCAAGTATATTTGTGTAAAACTAACTTGTAGAATTATAATAGTATTGTTCGAGTTCTAAAGCCAACAGCATCCAACTCTGTCAATAACTGGAAAAACTTTATCTTTTAACTTCGCCCATTAACCCTAGAATTACAAGATCTTATGAGCTTTGTAAATACATTTTCTAGATAATTTATGAACCAAGTTGCTTATGGGTGTGTGACTTTGTTGGTTACAGGGTTCCTAATAACATACGAGTCACAAACAATTTGTTGACGTGGTCATTATGTTACTTATAGTAGTTGTCTCTAAACTTGAAATAATATCAATTTGACAGACACAGTGGAAGCATATTCTGTAGCTTTTATGGCTCTACAATTTTCTCTTTAATAACCATATTCATAAAATCCACAAAAAATATCTCCTCTTTCTAGAGATCATGATAAAACACTGTCTGATGCTAAAGAGCTGTGTGTTACAGCAGGGAATCGACAGAAAAACTAACCTTCCCGTAATTTCCCCAAGTTGTCCAGCCAAAAGTGACATCACAGTTGATTTTCCTGAACCTTGTAGGCCTAGAATACCCACGACATAGAAGTTTGTTTGGTCCACTAGAAACTAAAGATTTTCATAGCATGATAAATACTACAAAAAAAATAGTTACGATTGAGCAAAGAAAAACTTGAATTTAACTGAATGTAAAAGTCTGCGATAAAATATCACATTTTTTTTTATTTATCAAAATAGTTATCTTTCAATCATTATTTTTATAAAAATAATAAATTCACATGAACACCTGGTAATGGCAGCTTGCATTAAATCTAACTGTAGCAAAATCATCATTGTACAGTGAAATTAAAGGTTGAAAAATATGAAATAAAATCCAAAATACATTCTTTTTTTCCCCCTTTTTCTAGAGTGTCTGCAGGTTATAGGAGATGATTACAGTTACTTATCCTAACCTTTTAACCCATTCACGTCATTCTTAATTTCTTTTTTTAGTTTTATTATTAAACTTCAATGGAAGAGCTTAGGGTAAATGCTGAGATATAAAAATTCCAGCCTTCACTTTGGTTTTAAGTAACTCAAGCTCATGAAGGTGATCTACTACATAATGAAGGATGATTGGATAAGACGAGCTGCATTTCTAGCTGAACAAGAGATGACTTCACACTGAACCAGTACATTGCCTTCACATTTTCTGATTGGTCAGAATGGGGATTCTTATTTACATAAAGAATACCTTTTTACACACACACACACACACCCTCCAATGAAATGCAAAAATACAAACAAACATGTATGTGTATAATGCCAAATATTAATGTTAGCTCTTACAAACAATGGATCAAGATGGTCTAGAATAATGTTAAAACAAATTATACACTTGGCCAGATACATCATTATTTGTATTAAAGGTAAAATTGGTTTGTCCCCCCCAGTTGTTTCCCTTCCCCATATGACAAATGCCTCCAAAACCTTTTGATGCAAACATTTGGCTCTTTATAATTTTTGTACTGAATGACATAACTAGTATATTATAGTTCCATGATCAAGGTTGGTATATTGTATTTTCAGGGTTCTATTTCTAGGGGTGGTATAATTAGTCTCAAGGTTCCATTACTAGGGTTAGAATAATGAAGTTTTCACAGTTCCACTACTAGGAGTGGTATAATGCAGTTTTCAGGGTTCTCTTAAGAAGTGTAGTATTATGTAATTCTAAGGGTTCCACTAGTAGGGGGGGGGGGTATAATATAGCTTTCAGGATTCAATTATTAGGGCTCATATAATGTAGTTTTCAGAGTTCTAGTATAAGGGGTAGTATAATGTAATTCTCAAGATTCTATTACTATAGTGGTAACATTTTCAGGGTTACACTACTAGGGGTGGTATATGTAGTTCTCAGTATTCCTGGCAATCAGGAAGCAAGATAATAATAATAAAAGTTAATGCAATGTCCATCATTTCATTAATGTCAGTGAACATTACTATTTTAATCTGTATTTAATTGGATACTTCATCACTAAAATGAATAAAGATTTCTAAATTTAATCACATGTATACATTCAATGTTGTAGCTAATGCATTAACATCTCACTACCCAAATTAAGTTTACTTATCAAAAACATACCAAATAAGGTGGTAACTATGAACGTTACATTTTTCAACATTGCGTTAATTATTTAATTTCAGTGTATCAAATATTTATTTTTATTGTTTGTTTACAAGGCTACATTCCACTGTTTCAATACTATCCCTTGTACTACTAAATACGTTGAAATTACATTATGTACTGCTGCTAAACTTATTATATTGAATATACTGCTTACTTCCATGGCATTATCACACCACTGCAAGTTCTCCCCATCAACGAGTTTTACTGGAGTTGACATTTCTGGTAGCAAGGAGAGTTTCTGATCTACGTGATAAAAATGTGTTACTTAATCTCATATGTTTAAATTTTTTTACCTCACACAAATAATTGATAATATTGACATACGGCAATCATATTGTAACCTTTGGGAAAATTAAATGTAACTGATTTGTTTTTTCAAAATTGTTTAAGTGCTCATTCATTCAATTTTTGTTATACAAAAATTATCAAAATGAAACTTCTTTAAGTGAGAAATCCAAACATTAACCCTATGTACACTAGTGGGGTCAAAGTGTGCGAGCCACAACCTTTTACAGAATGCTATTCAACATACTTGTCAAAGTCCGAGTCAGGCTGATAACCCCAATTCACAGACATATCTTGAGCACCTTTTTAACTCACCTGATGCTTTGTGTACGACAGACTTGTACATTTGTTTATTTAAGCTTACTAATATTTTGTGTATGTAAATATACCAAAATCGGCATTAAAGTCAACATTACTTTTTCATTACGGGTTGGTCTAATGGACCAAATCCATGCACACTCATTAAGCTACATAAAAGGGAAACATTAAAATGAACTCTGACTAAATAAACTTTCCAAGTAGTAATATAACCTAACTTTGTTACAAGTGAACAGTTTTTACCATCACCGGTAATGTGACCCGACTTCTGCTGAATCTGATAGACTGGCTGTTGACCCACACTTGAGGCAGGACAGGAACCTGCAGTGCTACTGCACACATCTCTAGAAGAATGAGACACTGCTGTCGTGGAATGGGATGTCACATTTCCTGGTGAAGAAGAACGACTACCTTCTTTTTCATTACCATCTCGGGTTTTTAGTAGCACTGTTGGAGCTTTGATTTCAGGTGTACGTGCTGGACTCTTTCCAGTTCCTTCATTAGGCTTAGAAGCACTTTCAGACTAGATAGATGAAAGAAAATAAATAAAGCATGATTATTAAAAATAACCAATATAAAAATGTCAGTCTCATAGACTATAGATAATTACAAGAAATTAATCCTTTCCAGACAAGAGGGATGTTGCTGCTATTTGTCGACTTTTCTTTCCTCACAGTGTAAATACTTAACCAAGTTGCATAAAACCTAGAACAAACTTACTAAATACTATCTAGTTTTGATGTTAAGATTTAATATCATTTTATTTAGTTATACTATCCCATTTTCTAAATTTCCAACATTTTGTCACAACAAATTATTTTCAAAAAACATTAAAGTACTTTGTCTCATCTTAAAATTAAAATTGTTTTTGTTATATAGCAAATCAGTTTCAATATATTTGTTTTGTTACTTTATATTAGTAATTGAAGTAGTCTGCATTTCTGGCTATAAACTGTATAAAATACCTAACAAAAACTAGATTTATCAGTGACCTACGAAATAATTTTTCGAAATGGAGTCAGGTCAGACTATGCAACATTATTCTTGGTCAAGATCAATTTGTGTCTAAAAAAGTTTATTTTCAAGAAAGTATATGTTCATTTCATTATGTACACTGTTTGAATACAATAAACTTAGTGATAATATTCAATAAATTAGGATATTAACCATCTGAATATTTTTCAATTGGCCACTTTACTCTTTAAACCTAAATAGGCATAACTTTTCATACGTATCATCTCTGTAAACTTACTCTCACTTGTAATATTTAAAACATTATATTCTCACATAGTCCTTATTAAATATCTTAAATATTTACATATAAATATATAAAAAGACTACTGCTGTTTTTCATAAAGATTTTCTATTGCATCTTACAAATGATACAAAAGTTTTGACAAAAATAAATCATTATACATACATGTGGTTGATCGTCATGATGGGGCTTAGCAAGTATAACCAAAGTTTTTCCTGGTTGTGGATTATCTTGTTCTGATTCTCTCTCCTATAATTCAATAATACAAGTGCTGGAATTAATGAGCTGCCACAAAGGTTTTGGTATGAAAATACTGTTAAAATTACAGTTTAGTGGCCTACATTTCATACTGAATTTTCAGCCATAAAATCACAATGGTACATTACCATCTGTTGTTTAACACAAACTCAACGATGAAAGCAAACAAAAAAACACTATATACTTTTGATACAAATGACAATATACCAAAATCAAAACCCAAAAGATCTCATGCCAACAACACTGCTATATGATTAAAAGTGTTCTTTATGTAAAATTATAAAATTCTAATTCAAAAAAAATAAGAGGAAGTGTTTTGTTTTTTTATTCACTTTGGATGTTGATTTTTTTTAAAGAATCAATAACGACAAAGCCCCATGGTAACTCTATGGCTGAAAATCTAATATGAAATATAAGCCACTAAACTGCAATTTTACCAAAATATTCATCGGCAAATACAGAAATTCTGAGAATCTTTTCCAAACACTGTAGGTGTTAATGCACAACCTCTATCTCATTGAATTTTTGCGTTATGCTACAGGACTGTGCAGTCAGTGTCATTATCACTATGCAAGTATGTTTCTAATAAATATACAACTTTAGTTTAGCTTTTAGGATGTTATTACTATAAATTATAAAAATCACTAACAGTAACATTTAGAGTGGAGCATGCATTTCAAATATTATATTTCATACTTCCCACTAAATGTGAATACAGGTTAGCAACATAAATAATAAATAGCAGATACATTAGGCACGATGTTTAACCTAAAGCTGTGTAGTTCTTAAATCGTAACTTGCCTAAACATTAAGAAACAGATCAAGCCGCACTGCAGTGTCAGTGTGTCACGACGTCTGTACTGTAATGTAGGCCTAAAACTTCAGCCTTAGGTTAAACACCGATTCTGTATTACAGTAAAAATATCATAATTATCTGAGTATGTGTGGGTTTAAACATACTGCTTAAGCAGATTATTAAATAATAATAATAAAAAAAAAGCATACTCGTCCTCCTGGCTTCATAGGAGGTATTATTAAACGCTTTTTACGTCTCCTTCCTCGATCAGCTGAATCAGCCATTCTAATTACGCTTCCTACCGAATATATCAGGTGTTAATAAACTTTGGTGAAAAAAATTAATATAAATATTGTGACATCAAAGTTAGATAAAGTTTTATTCATAATTATTGTTATACGGTATAACAACTGTAAACATTTATATATAGTATAATTGTTGCGAGAATTTTACTTATTATCCAAATTCGTTATGATACATTTTATATATCCAATGTTGACAATGTATAGAAATATGGGCATCTGCAAGGGTGGAAATGGGGCACTTGCCCCATCCTGGAATACCAATTTGCATTTCCCTACTTATAGCTTTGATATCATTTTTTCATCTTGCCTACTCTATAATATAACTTGTATATGCTCATGTATAGAAATCCATATAATTAATGAATATTTTTACTTAAACAAACAATGAATCGTAATGTCCCCGGGTGGGACAGCGGTATATCTGCGGATATATAACACTAAAATCAGCGGTTCGATTTGCCTCAGTGAACAAAGCAGATAAATCAAAGTGGCTTTGTTAATAAATTTACACACACACACACTTTAAATCGTAAAAGTAGGTTTCAATGTTATGAATCAGAGTGTAGTATATGTTAATTACCATTTACTAGATATTTTTGAGGTACTTTCTAATACCAGTTGTTTAACATTTTACCTAATTTTGGAGTTATACAACTTAAAAAAATGACCACTCTCTAAATATTGCGAGCAAATAAAATTTAGTTACTTCCTCTGGATACATACTCATATATATATATATATATATTACAAATTTGACCAACTTACTTACTAAAGAACCTACCACAATTTTTTAATCTTCATAATCAACACATAACAGAAAATAATCTATTATTTTCATAAAACTCTTTAAGTGTATGAGTTTTTGGTTAGCTATTAGAAAAAAAAATGAAATTCATGGTGTTCTATATTTTATTATACTCAAGAAAAAGAAAAAACAATCGACTTTTGACCAGAAAATGGAAAATATTGGTCAAAGAAAAGACAGAGAATTTCGAATAATTACCCTATGATGAAAGAGTACGGAAATTTATTCTTCTTAGAACAGAAACCCTAATCCATGGAAGCTGTAATTTCTAGCATATCTTTGATAATTCGAAAAAGTTTTGTATGTAACGTATTCCAAAGTTATGATCAAACTGGGTCTCGTTAAGTCGCGAGTAAAGAGTTAAAGAAACAGTAAACGCAATTTATACAGTTATCAGTGTTATTGCAATATAATATCCAACAGATACTAATACTTAAGGATTTGTTCTGACAGCTAAGGCGTTTTACATTATTAAAATAAAAATAATTTCAAGATGTATTTATATTTTTGATGAAGAGGAGCCCACTTTATTTATATTTTATTTTCACACGTGACAAGGTATGAAATTCTAGAGAGCGGTAGTGTACTGAACAGTATGAGCTTGATTAACATTTGAAAAGGGTATGTGATATTGTATTCTGCTTCTTTACTCAAATTTTAACAATTTGTCTTGGAGTGTAATACTTATTTTTTATCATATATTAATAATAATAATACATAATATAGTTCAGAAAATTTCAAATTTTTGTTTTGTAAATTTGAAGTGATATTTAAGATAAAAGTTAAATATCTTGACTGGATTTAGTATCTTAGTCTTAGTGTAAAGTAGTAGTAGTAATACTAATCGTGTAAGTTGGATAAAGTTTAATATAAACTTTATATTATTCTGACCTCTTACTCGTTATAATGGTAGAGGTCAGAATTCGTACTCAATGTCTAATTTCTTGCCTTATTTTTAGGCCTATATGAACAAAACAAAATTTAAGTCTAATTCACAATTTATTTTAAGCTTGCAAGTTGCATTCAATAAATATATTGTGAGTTAATCCTACACTAGGCCAGAGTTTAATTTTAAGTTTGTCTTTTTCCTGCAATTAAAAAATAAACTTTACTGCTTACATTAGGCCAACTACAAAAAAAATATACTTGAATAGCGTCCCTGCCTACTTCCTTTTTTTACAGTCTCCTCCCCTACTTTTTTTATTTTGGTGATGTTTTCCCTTTTTGATTATTCTTTTTGATCATACAAAGAAACAAAAAAGACTTCTGAATAAAAAATAATTTGAACACAGTTGATTCATTTTGAACTTTTTCTTTATTTATCATAAATTCTGTATCATTTTGATGAAATTAAACAAAAAGACTTCTGTTTGACACGTACCCTTTGAAAACAAGCAACAATCATGAAAAAAGGGTGCTAACTTTCTTTCAAACATGCCATTTGAAAAAAATGTACCTCCTCCTCCCTTTTTTTTTTTTGAAAATTCCAGACACTAAACATGTTTTTTCTTTTTTCACTTGACCTCAATTTTAGATTAGTCCAAAGTTAATCTAGATTTGCTTGGATTTTGGACTAAGTTGTAAATTATTTTATTAATATGAAATTATGTATGTATGTTGATTTGGCATAAAAGCTGAAGCATAAAATGTTTACATTAATAAATATTAAAAAATGTACTTGCAAACTTTTTGAATTGAATACTTCATCATATTAAATAAAAATACTAAGTGTTATTATGTGAAAGGGTTAAAACTATAACAGTAGAAACATTCAATCTTGGTAATCTTTAGAGTAGTGTTTCTGTTGATAAAAGTAAAAAGTCTTTCAGCAACAATTTCAAGGTTGTTTAATAATTCAAGTAAATCACTTTTTGTATCAGTAAACACAGAACTTTCTCCGACAGTATCACTCATGGCAGTTACCACTGTTGCATATTAAATTACTTGTTACAACTTGTTCTCTAACTTGTATTAGTAAGTCATAATGGGTGTTTTTCATTTATGAACAGTTCAGTCAGTTTACTAAATTAATGTCTTAATTTAAGGGAACATGTTCTTTGCATTAGTGAGAAACATGTTTTGTGTAATCTTCTGTTTATCGTGTTTAAAATAATACTTTACAATAAGCCTTCACATGAGAACTTAAGGTGTTGATATTTTTTGGTTAAAAATGTTTATTGCTAATTGACAATATCGTATTTGCCTACATACTTACAATTGAATTTACTCCACAGAAGTGTGAATAGTAACTTAATAGTACACCAAAGTTAGAGATCCTTGGGGTTCAGATATAGCCAACCCACATTAAGAACTACTGACCAAAAGGACTGTAACCAGCACCTACCACCTACTGGACTTTGTCCAGTTCTTTAAACCATAAAAAGTATTTATTGTCACTTGTATAATGTAGCTACGGGTCAAAGTGTAAAGTAAATTGAGTAACATCACGACTCGAACTATTACATGTTAACCAATAAACCTGGTCCGTGTGGATAACACAGACAGTTGGTAGAAAAGACATTGTTATATATTCAAAGACATTTCAGAAGAAGTAAAAAAAAACATTTAAAAACTTAAAGAATTCATAGGTTTCTATTCTGTAAGTGGCAGTAGTTATGAAAAACAAATTATAGCCATATTTGGATAGTCACAGAATTGTTTTCATGGTTGCAATAAGTAAACAGTTCTTAACATGAACTCTAGAAGTTCAAGACATTTCTGTTCCTTCTAGTACATCTTGTTAATTGTTGCAGACAAACATTCCAGTGTAAGAATGTACCATGATTTGTGTTAACTAAATGTTTATCAGTGTCAACTGTATTGACTTGAAGTTTATTGATCTCTGATGTTCTGTAACGTAAGGTTTAATATCTTTATTGTGAATAGAATCATTACTGTAGTACAATAATCTTTATTTTTTAACTAATTGGTACAGGGTTAATAAAGAATTAGTTTACCAAAATGTCTCAGGTTAACAGTAGTTTTCATCTGTATACATTTTTTATTGGTTATCTTAGGTGTTCCATTAATTGATGGTGGAACAGTCCACCTTACCCATCTTGTAGGACTGTCCAGGGTAGTTGATCTCATCTTTACAGAACGACAACTTTCAGCAAAGGAAGTATTCAAGATGGGACTCGTTAATCGGCTTGTTTCTTGTGGCACTTGTAAGTCGATCTGTATTTGTTTGATTTTTACTGAATTATACAGATAACTTAGAAAACCTCATTGTACCAGTATAAACCTGAATTATACAGATGACTTAGAAAACCTCATTGTACCAGTGTAAACCTGAATTATACAGATAACCTCATTGTACCAGTGTAAACCTGAATTATACAGATAACTTAGAAAACCTCGTT